TGAGAAAAGCCATAAAACACGAGAGGGGCTGAGAGAATTCCCAGGTCCCTTGAACTGGGTACACAGTGAAGTGTTAGGAAAGTAAGTCCAGAGGAGGCACACGCTGGACAGACCAGACATGTTGGACATGACAAGAGCTGGGCTTTTAATGAAAGACATGGATAAGTAAAGAGTAAACAGACACTTGCTGGAAAAAGAAGGAGATTAAAGTTGGCTCATTGCAGCTGTGACAGCCAAGGGACAGATGGTTCTGATCCTGAGAAAGACAGGAGTGAAGGGATCCTGAGAAGAGATGGGAGGCTGGGCCATGGAATTCGTTTAAGTATCAAAATAAGAGGTAGTAGGAGAAGTAACAGTGCTTCTTTCAAAATCAAAGTTAGGGGCTGGAGAGGAGGCACAATAGTTAAGAACGCTTACTACCGGGCTAGAGAGATGGCTCAGAGGTTAAGGGCACTGACTGCTTTTCCAGGGGTCCTGAGTTCTGTTCCCAGCAACCACATGGTGGCTCACAACCATCTACAATTCAGTCTGGTGCCCTCTTCTGGCACGTAGTCAGAACACTGTATATGTAATAAATAAATAAATCTTAAAAACAAAAAAAGACTTGCATTAAAAAAAAAGAAGAAGAAGAATGCTTACTACAGCCAGGCAGTGGTGGTAGCTGATCTCTGAGTTTGAGGCTGGTCTATAGAGTGAGTCCCAGGACAGCCAGGCACACACACACACACACACACACACACACACACACACACACACACACAGTAGTAGTTTAACTGAGAAAAGTTCTCCATAGGCTTAGGTATTTGAACACTTGGTCCCCTTTCGTGGTGCTGCTGGAGAAAGACATGTGTGAATGGGGGTGGGCTGTGAGAGTTTATAGTCTTCCTCCACTTCCAGTCTGCTCTCTGCTTCCTGTGTGGGACTGAAATGTGAGCTCTAAACTTCCTGTCTGTTGCCATGACATCCCCACTAGCCCTCTGTAATTATAAGCCAAAACAAACTATTTTATAAGTTGTTTTTCTCATGGTTATTATTGTTGTTGTTGTCATTATTCGCTTTTTTGAGATAGGTTTTCTCTGTGTAACAGTTCTGGTCTTTGTAGACCAGGCTGGCCTTGGACTCACTGAGATCCAACTGCCTCTGTCTCCCAAGTGCTGGAATTAAAGGTGTGTGCCAAAACTGCCCGGCACTCAAAGTATTTTTATCATAGTAATAAGTAAGCAAACAAATGTATACATATATGCATAAATTAAAATAAATCAGGACTATAGAGATGGTTCGGTGCACTGGCTGCTCTTTCAGGGGACCTGGGTTCAATTCCCAAACCCACATGGCAGCTTACAACTGTCTGCAGCTCCAGTTCCAGGGGATCCAGCATCCTTACACAGACACACATGCAGGTAAAATCCAATGCACCTGAAAAGAAATAAATCATTAAAAAATACAAGAGTAAAACAAGTCTTAAATAAATAGACAACATAGTAACACACATACTAGAATGACTACATGTACAAACCCAAGAGAAACAAATGTTGGCAAGGATGTGGAGCAATAGTCATTCTCATTTACTGATGCTGGTGGGAATGCAAAATGGTACATCCAGGGGCTTTGGAGACAGCCCAGAGGTTAAGAGCAGTGGTTGCTCTTCTGGAGGTCCTGAATTCAATTCCCAGCAACCACATGGTGACCTACAACCATCTATAATGAGATTCGGTGCCCTCTTCTGTCATTCAGACAGAACACTGTATCCATAATAAATAAATAAACCTTAAAAAATGGTACAGTCATTTTGGAAGACAATGGTAGTTTCTTATAGCACTAAGTATATTCTTACCATGTGATCCAGTGATCTCATTCCTATATACTTACCTAAATGAGCTGAAAACATAACTATGCATGTACCTACATGAATGTTACATCAGCTTTGTTTATAATCACCAAATACCTGGGACAATGACAATGTATTTCAGTGGGCAGACAGGATAGCAAATTGAGAATCAGTTAGAGATGGAATATTATTGACTGATAAAGAGAAACCATGGTAAGCGTCTTCATTAGGGTTACTATTGCTATGACGAAACACCATGACCAAAGCAACTTGGAGAGGAAAGGATTTATTTGGCTTGCATTTCCATATTGCTGTTCATCATTAAAGGAAGTCAGGAGAGCAACTCAAACAGGGCAGGAACCAGGAGCTGATGCAGAGACCATGGAGGGGAGCTGCCTACTGGCTTGCTCAGCCTGCTTTCTTACATAACCCAGGACCTCCAGCCCAGGGGTGGACTGGGCCCTCCCGCTTGCCTGTATCCTGATCTTACGGAGGCATTTTCTTAGTGGAGCTTCTCTCGTCTCAGATGACTTTAGCTTGTGTCAAGTCAACATAAAAGTAGCCAGCACAGAAAGACAAGAAGAACTTAATGCACAGTGCTTAACAGAAGGGCCCAGCCTGAAGAGACTGTGTGCTGCATCGCTCTGACCAGCAGCAGAGGCAAACCTCAGGAAACAGTAAAAAGAGCCATGGTTGGCAGAGGTCAGGGTGAGAAGGAGGAACGAATAGGTGGAGTGAGCGCTAGAGGCTTAGGGCAGTGAAATACTCCGTGTGGTGCTTCCTAATAGATCCATGTCCCATGCTCATCAAACCTATAGGATTGTGTAGCACAGAATGCATCTGGATGTAGACCATACACGACAGTTATAGGATTGTGTGGCACAGAATGCATCTGGATGTAGACCATACACGACAGTTATAGGATTGTGTGGCACAGAATGCATCTGGATGTAGACCATACACGACAGTTGATCAAGGGGGACAAATGTGCTTACGAGTGCAAGGTTGTTCGTGTGATGGGGAACCTGTGTGGGAGAGAAGTAAAAGGAACTATGCTGTTTGTTGAGTTATAGGGGCAATCTCCTCATTTACCCTGAAAAAATATACATAAAATGTTAAAAAAAAAGTCAACAGTTTTTTTAAAGGAAGATTTTACATCGATGGATAAAAGAAGCAACTGTGGTGAGAATTATTTTTAAATGCATAGAGGGTCACCAAGGTCATGAAAGCTTGATTGTAAAATCTGCAGCCAATCTTGCCACCCTTCATCACAAAATTCACACCGTGGGGCTTCTGGGATTGCTCAGTTGGTGAAGGCCCAAAGCTGGAGGACCTGACTTTAACCCTCAGTGTTCATGTAAACAGACAGGCATTGTGCTGAAGAGCCGGCTAAATGGTTAAGAGCACTCGCTTCTCTCACCAGGAGCACAGGTTCAGTTCCCTGCACCCACACGGTAGCCAGCAACTTCCTGTAACTCCGGTTCCGGGGGATAGGAAGCCCTCTGCTGGCCCCTGAGGGCATCAGGCACATACATGATGTGTATATGTAAGTGCAGGCAAACACTCAAACATGTTAGAAGCGTGGCAGAAAGCTGGGCATCACGGTGCATACCTTTAATCTCAGCAATCGGGCGGATCTCTCTGAGTTTGAAACCAGCCTGGTCTACAAACTGAGTTACAGAACAGACAGAGCTGTTGTGAAAAGAAACTCTGTCTCAAAAAAAAAAAAACCTAACTAAATAAATAAATGAATAAAATAAAAGATTAAAAGAAATAAATCTTTTGTAAAAGCAAAGCGAAAAGCAAATGGGGGAATCAATTTCCGCCTCCACGAGAATATGTTCACACAGACACAAAAACAAAATCTTTAAAAACATACAACCTGGTAGGATTTATTCAACCAGCTCCCTGGGCTTTGGTGGACCAAGGCATGCCACTAAGTGAACACAGAACGAAAGGCCTTCCCTGGAGAGGCAGGCAGGCCAGAAGACAGACAGACAGACAGACAGACAGACAGACAGACAGACAGACAGACAGACAGACAGAGGGAACAGGGAAGAGGCAAGAACAGAGAGGACTGTGGCAGCACTTTTAAAGGGTGTGCGTGTCACACAGGCACTTCTTTTTTTCTTTTTTTACTACTTTATTTTTTATAGTCCAATCCAAGTTCCCCCTCCCTCCTCTCCTCCCACTCCCCCTGTTTCTCCCCTCCTCCCATCTGCTCCTGGGAGAGGTTAAGGCCTCCCCTAGGAAGTCTACTAAGTCTGTCCCGTCATCTCATTGAGGCAGGACCAAGACCCCTCTCCACCCCCACCCCTGTGTGTAGGCTGAGCAAGGTGCCTCTCCATAGAATGGGCTCCACTAAGTGTGTGCGTTAGATTAGATCTTGGACCCACTGCCAGTGCGCAGGCACTTTTAAAGGGTACGAGCATTGCACAGCTGACCTGAAGGTACCTGGTGTCAGGGGATGAGGCTGCTGCCTCCACAGCCGAGGCAGGCTGCTGCCGTGGTGGGAACAAACTAGGCTTCTGTGTTTTTAGGGTTCACTAGTTTTTCTCATGGAAGTGAGTCTGGGCTTCTTGCCTGGCCAATTTGGATAAGGAACACGGCACTCTTAAGGAGGCTTTTGTTTGGTCAGGCTTTTTTTTTTCTCAAGCAACTGTAACTGTGTTGGCTAGCTAGGCTGGTGGTTAATTCTCTGTGATTATGTCCAAGGCCCTTTACATTCGTTTTCCTGTTTCTTCCTTCTTGGTAGTTGGATGAGACAACCGGCACAGTTTTCATCTTCTAAGGAGGCTTGCTTTTCCTGTTCACCGGAATTTCTGCAAATGACAAAAGGAACAAATTCCAATCAGCACGCTCTTAATGCCCCTTAATGAAGTACTTGTTTTAAACTGCTCCAGCTACCCTGCCCGCCCCCCAACACAAACCCCCTTCCCCTGGATTAGGCCCTGAATTAAGATTAAATTGTAAATCCTTTCGTTTCTGGGGCTAAGGTCCTGGCCTCCCTAACCTTTGAGTCACCACCATTTGCTTTGAAAGTTGACACCTTCTATTTAAATAGCAAGCACCAAACCTCGGCGGGCTCAGGGCCTAACAGACTGATTTCAATTATCACCTCTCATCCACACCCTTCTTCTCTTGTAATACGCGGCTTTCTTCTCTTAATTAGAAAGAGCCAGGGATTATCTGCATAAGACTGGAAGATTCATTGTGATTGGTGGGATTGTCTCTCCTGTCCACGACTCCTATGGAAAACAGGTGGGTCGCTTCCTATGCCTTCTCTCCCTTCACCCTTCCTCCTCATGACCACTCCCCTGGGTAAAACTGCCCCACTGTGGTCTCTGGGGAGATTCCTGGAAATGCTAAATGCCTAACAGTAGGCATGTGGCTCGCATCCCTGGACCACTGTCAGAACTGGGTGCCTGGCCAGAGCTGGAGGGCCAGTGCTCACTGCAGCCAGCTGCTCACAGAGAGGAGTGAATGTGCCTGCTCTGTGTGACTGTGCTGGGCTTCAGACCAGCAGTGGTTAAGTGTGCCTGCTCTGTGTGAGTGCTGGGCTCCAGACCGTCAGCGGGTTGTGGGCTGAACTTCATTCAGTGCGCTATGAGTTGACCTGCATTGGGCAAATTGTTTCCGAGATTTTTATTTTAGAAAAAACATCCCAGTGCCTCTTATAATTTGCCCCAGGTCTCCAAAATTATGGGAGCTCGCCCAGTCATTTGTTTGTCCCAGGGATACTCTAATCACTAAACTAGGCTAACTGAGTTTAGACCAGGTCAAATATGAGACCTATGCAGGGTGGGCATTGGCTGGTCCAGACTCTGATGCAGTGGGATACACCACACACACACACACACACACACACACACACACACACACACACACACACCCATCACTCTATGTCTGTGTGTGGCAAAGGGACAGGTCAAGGGGGTCACATCTCTCGTCTCCTCTTATTAGCAAACATGGCTGCACTTTGCAATGGGGTGGCTTATACTCGGGTGCAGTGGCAGACGGAGGCCACCTCCTGCTCATGACTTGGTTGTTTCCCAGGGCCTTGTGTCAAGTCGGCATCGTCTCATCATGTGTCAGCTGGCTGTCCAGAATTCCGACTGGATCAGGTAGGGCTGTGAGGATGCTGCCAGAGGTTGCATGGAAAAGGGGAAGAGTCAGTAATTTGGAACCCACAGGCTGAGGGAGTACGGGAGATATTAGCCCCACAGCAGCCGTAATTAGGTAGATCTCCAGCGGTGGCCCAATTGATAACTTTGTTTATTTTTGAACCAAACAATCAAAATTAAAGAATTAGCTTAGGGAGTTTTGTATCTATGGGGTGATTCTAAAGAGTTTCCAAAAACATTGCTGGGGGAGGAGTCTGGTCCCCAAACCCTGAATGCCTCTCATTCACATTCCCACGTACTTCCATAACTCTCACCCGCAACTCCCTTCCTTTCAGAAAAAGTCTGTGGCCTTGGTTACTGCCCACTTCTGGTCTCAGGGTCCCTCAGGTGACTCCAGGACAAAGGTGTGGAGCTGCTGAGCAGTGCTCTCTAGGGCGTCTCAGACGTGAAGCCGGCTTCCTGGTCACTGCCCCCCCCCATTCAGACTCGCTGCACCGCTATGATGGCAGAGCTTCCCATGCTCTGAGCCAGCAGTGTAATTAAAGCAAGCTTCCACTAATTATGCTAATTATGTCCCAAGTTCCTACCGTTATAATTTGCATGAGAAGATGGTGTTTAAAAAAATAATGGCACATCGCTCGCTCTTTAATTTCCTGCGGTGGAAAAATAAGCAGCACCTAGAAGTTTCCATGAGCGGAGGGGCATTGACCTCAGAGTGAGGGATGCAGCTAACTCAGGAGGGTTGGGCTGGCAGAATTGAAGTCAGTGACCGGTAGCCGCAGTAATAATTGAGCAGGGGTCCATGTGGGCCTGCCCAGTGCTTTGTGTGAGAAGTTTCACCCTTAAGGGACTATCTTTTGGGTTGAGGACTGAAAAGACGGCTCAGTTATGAGCACTTGCTGTTCTTCTAGAGGACATGAGTTCAGTTCCTACACCTACCTTGGGCAGCTTACTACTGCCTGTAACTCCAGCTCCAGGGACTCTGATACCCTCTCTGACCTCCACAGCACCCTCTTTTTTTTTTTTTTTTAAAGAAAAAGATACAGTTGCGTAGAGAGTGGAGGACATTCCGTGTATCATCAAGCCAGGGTCAGAAATCTCATCTCCTGGTGCCATAAATGACTGTCTAATTGCCTGTGGGGAATGAATCCAGGGGAGAACACACTGTGCAGAGGCTGTTCCTGCTTGGATATTTTTAGAAAACTCTGGAATTATTCCTTCATTGATCCAATGCACACTTATTCAGTACCTACCACCTGCCCTGCTTGGAAGATAGAACTGAGGTGTCTAGAGCTTGAGGGTGAGCTCCTAGGAGGGAAGCTGATTAGATAGCCCTGGGACCCCCCCAAACTTGTGGGCACAGGAAGAGCTAGGTGAGGGTAGGCAGAAGCCTTCATTTTCAGTTAGTAAGATCTCGACTCTGGAAACGTGAGGTGCCTGGCAGGGGATGGACAGGGATGCTTGACTGCTAGGTGAACACTTCAGAAACATCTCAGTTTAGCAGCTCATTAAGTTGGCAATTGAGGCCAAGTGAGGCATTAGTCTGGGGCGGGATCCCTGCTCACTTCCCAGCCTCCTGTTCAGGAGTTGGCTGGCCTGTGTGTGGGTTTGTACCTTCTAGTCTAGCTATCAAGCCTTACTTGCAGCCTCAAGGCACTGCACCAGAGGCTGATGGGGCTGCTTCTCCAGGCTTGCTCTGTCCCTGCTTGATGAGTCGCTGGCTCATTTAATCCTTATCCCAATCCTGTAAGAGCCTGAAGATTTCCCTTCTCCATATGAAAACAAGCAGGAGACATCCTGCAAGGAACTATGCAGATAAAATCTCCCAGATCCTCCACTGGAAAAAGTGTTGAGCTGGGGTTAAACTCAGGGAGACTCACACCAGTATCTTCCTTCCCTGCCTTGCTGGAGTCTTCTCATTCTACAGAGAGGGAAACTGAGGCTCAGGAACGTATTTCACAGCCTGGTTTAACCTAATTTGAGATCTAAGCAAACAGGACATGGCCAGGCCTGCTAAGCTCCCTGAGCCTTGGAAGGAAACAATGAGGAGAGTGCATGAAATGGAGACTAAGGGCCGCCTCTCTTGTGATGGCAGAGTGGACCCATGGGAGTGCTACCAAGACACCTGGCAGACGACCTGCAGCGTGTTGGAACACCATCGAGACCTCATGAAGGTGAGTTGGGTCAGGGCCGAGGGTGGGTGGATGAGCCGGATGCGGGAGAGGGGTGGGGGAGGAGGCTGCTGGCCTGCTGCCCTGGCATCTACCAGTTGTGAGGTGGACCAGCCCGTGTATGGTACTGGGGAAGATGGTGAATTAGGACCCTGGCACAGCACCCACCTTGCTCCCCAGCCTTCTGCTCTCTGGCTTGTCCTCCCATTTGAGGGCGAGCGCATGCTGTTGGGGCAGGACTCAACCTGGGCAGCTATCATCGGCTGGAGAAGCAAAGTCAAGGTGGAATGAAGAATAGAGTTGTGAGACTTCAATGAGAAAAGGAGAGGCCTGGGCAAGGAACAGAGATGCCCTTTGCGCTGAGGATGTAGTTCAGTTACCAGAGTGTTTGCTTAGCGTGTGTGTAACCCTGAGTTTGATCCTCATTACCACAAGAAAACTGGATGTGGGGATGTACATGCCTCCATTGGGAGGAAGAGGTAGGAGGATCAGAAATTCAGTGTCATAAGCCTGGGTTTAAAAAAAAAAAGTGTCCTTGCCATGCGAACCCACAGAATCAACTAAGCAAGGCTCATAGGACCCGAGCTCAGGTGATCTGATGCTCTGGCCTCTGTGGACACTGCCCCCCTAGGGACCTACCCCCCCCCCCAACATACACATACACAGAATGAACGATACACCCTTTTACAAAGAGACTCTGTGTCAGTCGGGATGGGTGAAGATGTGCTGTGATAACAAACAAAATTATCAGTGGCTCACACTTGCCACATGACTTGTACAAGGGAGTGCTTTTTTTTTTTTTTAGTCACACAGAGGTCTTAAGTTCCATGATAAAGGGAGAATCGGGAACCCTTTGAGCATCCCTGAATTCTGGCCTGGCTATAATGGCCATAGAATCTGGCCATTTGTAGGAGTGAACCCCACAAAGCTATCTGCCCATGAGGGCGGGGACAAGTAAATTAGCACAGGTAGAGATAAAAGGAAGCGAAAGGAAAAAGGACCTCCCCATTTTTGGAAGCCAGCCACGCTTCTAACTCCTAGCTTGTGTGACTCTCTCTCTCTCTGGTAAATAAATATATTGTATCCCCTATAGCACCAGCTATCATCAATAGCCATTGTTTGGTTTCCCAAATTCCCAGACTTCCTGGGCACTTCCTCTTATACTCATGCCCAAACCTTGAGCCTGAGCCAGAGAAGTGTACTTTGAAGCTCTAGCTATAGTAGAGCCTCGCAGAGGCTGGCTGACAGCATAGGTACAGATTGTCCCCAGCCTTGAAGCCAGAGCAGAGCTGCTTCCTGGTAACCCACCTTTCCCAGTCCTGGGATGAGGCTGGTGTGCCTGGCTTGGAGGGTAAACTTGCCAGGGAGGGCCCCTCGAGGTTGGGTATGTAAAAGCTGCTCAGGACAAGAGAGCTACGGGGTCCTGATCAGGACACAGGCAAGGGCAGGGTGTGTGGCCAATCATTTTCTTCCTGGACAGAGCGAGTCAAGTGGGACTATGTAGACGCAGCAAGGGAAACTCCTCAGCCACAGAGCAGTGACAATGTGTCCCTGTCCTTTCTGGGGATAAAATAATAGTGAAAGGGAACAGATCATCCTTCTATTCTGTCAGCCACAGCTGGACAGCGGGGCCCACAAAGCAGGCTCGAAGCTGCCTCACAGATGTAGCTGGATGTTGCTGTGACCTTCTGTGTTAGGAGCAGACGGAAGTGATGGACTAACCCACCAGACAAATGCGGGTTCTTCTGAGGCTCAGAAAGACTCCAGGCCTTCTGCCTGCAGGCTGGCCTATAGAGCAGTGCCCAGAGGGTCTTCCTGGCCACCCCTGGGGTTTGAGGGTCCTCTCATAACAGCAGGACCCCAATCCTGAAAATGCAACGAGCATCTTTACCCCAGAGATGCTGCCTGTCGGGAAGGGACCTTGGATATGCACTTAGTTCCGTAGTTCTCTGTGGCTCTCTGACCCTGGATAGAGGGGAGTTGCTTCCACTGCTGAGAAGACTCCATTCTCAGCCCCATATTTTCCAGGTCACTGGAGGGAGAGGTGGGTCTGATAACACAGGTTAATGGATAATGGATCTCAAGTCACCACTCGGCTCTGAAGTGGGATGAGCAGGCCCCAGGGGACTTGGAATGCACCCCACACTTCCTGTGACATAATACATCCTGCTCTGCCTGGCACTGGTCTCTAGCTGGCCATGTTACTGACATGTCTGAACTGTATTGGCTGAGGCAGTGATGATGCCTTTGGTCGGTCTGACCTTTCCCATGCTTACAGAGCTCCCTCACGACATGATCTCATTTGAGCCCCAAGAAGCCGGCAGGGACCAGAGAAGGTCGTGGCATACAGAAGGTTACAAAGCCCCACCAGCATCAGGCACTTTGCATGTGCTTGCTCAAGTAATTCTGCCACAGTCAAAAGGGCTAAAGCTGGGCCAGCACTCCTGAGGGACTGAGCTAACTCCCAAGAGAGGAGACAGGCTGACTTCCACCTAAATGGAAAAAAAATGGCTGAAGCCTGTAATCCCAGCACTCAGGAAGTAGAGACAGGTGGATAGAGAATTTACATTTGTGGGTGGTAGTGGCCTTTAATCCCAGCACTCAGGAAGTAGAGACAGGTGGATAGAGAATTTACATTTGTGGATGGTAGTGGCCTGTAATCCCAGCACTCAGGAGGCAGAAGCAAGTGGAACTCTGAGTCTGAGGCCAGCCTGGTCTACAGAGCAAGTTCCGGGACAGCCAGAACTACACAGATAAACCCCGTGGTGGGCAGGGGAGCGGGGGAGGGACACAAATTGTGTTACCAGACCTGAATTAAGGTTCAGGAACTGTTCAAGGTCGCATAGCTAGAAGGAGGAGAGCCTGAACTTGGACTCAAGGCTGTGCAATGTCACTTCCCAAGCTTTTGTTGCTGAGTTACCCTGTTTCCTGCCAGTGTAGACCATCCCTTGGCTTGAGACTGCCTTGCTCTGCTGGGCAGAATGTCCATGGGGACACCTGGGCCATGAGTCTCAGCATCACTTATCTAGGGACACTGACTCAATGCTTCTCCCTTTCCCCAGAGGGTGACTGGCTGCATCCTCTCCAATGTCAACACACCTTCCATGACACCTGTGATTGGACAGCCACAACACGAGAACACCCAGCCCATTTACCAGAACAGCAATGTGCCCACCAAGCCCACCGCAGGTAAGGGGCACTGGGTAAAGTTCTCCATCTTTAGAATCACCTAGGGGGCCCACCCAGCATTTGAGTCAGTCTAGAAAGAGGGAGAGGAGGGTGAAGCACAGGACAGGGAAGGGAGGAGGAGGTGGAGGGTGTGAGGGGGAGGAGGAGGTGGGGGTGTGGGGGGAGGAAGAGGTGGGGGATATGGGGGGAAGAAGGAAGGAGATAGGGAAGGAAGAGGCAGAAGGGAGGGAGGAGAGAAGAAAGGAGAGAGGACAGTGTGCCTTCTTATGTATTTCAATATAAATGTAATTGCCTTAAATAGGAATTTACTATATGCGAGGGAGCATTTTTCTTTGCCTCTTCCAGAGAGGTTGAGGTCTCACCAGGGTCATGGTGAGGAAGTAGCAGGGCCATGAGTCACACGACATACATAAGGCCCATACTCTTAGCCACCTCCTCAACCACAAGAGCAAAGCCGCCCTTTCTCTGCACTAGCACGGTGTGCCTTATGGAGCGTTGTTCTCAGTCTTCACGTGTGTTCTCTTTAAATGCAGTAACTCTGTGGTGTAGATGCTTTCTTTCCTTTGACAAGTAAAAAAATGGCCATCCAGAGACAGTTTATGATTAGCCTAAGCTGAACAGCTCAAAGGTAGAAGAGCTGACAGGTTCAAGGGACATTCACCAAAGGATTCTCCCAGGTCAGTTCTAAGAGACGACGCTGGGCGTGGTGGCAGACGCCTGTATGCCAGAACTTGGGAGGTAGAAACAGAAGGATCAGGAGTTTAAGGCCAGCTTGGGCTACAAGAAATGTTGTTTCAAATTAAAAATGACCAAATACAAATTCTAAGAGACAGATGCCCACTACTTTTTAAGCCGAGAAGACACACACTACTATATTACTGTTCTTTTATAAACATAGTAATTTATAAAGAAGAGCTAGGACTCCACAGTTTACATGCAGTTATACTGGGCTATACTAAGCAAGTCTGGGGACTAGGGCCTGGAGAGATAGATCATGGAAGAGGCCACCTCCCAGCCACTTAGGGTGCCTGATTACTGTGAAGACCACCTGCATGGGCAGACATGCCCTCCTTAGCCCAGCAGAGATGACTCCAGTGTGGAGTCTGCCACAGGCTGAGGTCCCTTGGATTTGGGTGCTACTGTCCAGTGGGACTGAGTGGCTAAGGACAGGCTTGGGACACTGAGAAGTGTGTTAACCACCCAGCATTCCATTGCTGTGACAGACTGCCCGAGAAAAATCAGTCTTAAAGGAACAAAGATGTATTTGGCTCACATTCCAGAGGGTTCAGTCCAGGGGCGCTCGGCAGTGTTGTTTTGATGCCACGGAAGCATAGAGCATCGTGCGAGTGAGTGGCAGAGGAGGTGGCTCCCTTTGTGGCGTTCAGAATGAATGGAGAGGGAGGGAGAAACCAGGACACACCCAGTGAACTAACTTTCTTCCGTTAGAGCCCACCTCCTAAAACTTCCACCATTTCTCCAGCATCACCAGCTGGGGACCAGGCTTCACCACACGGCCTTTGGGGGACATTTAAAATTCAAACAGTAACATTAAGAATTGGAAAAGCAACAGGTGGCGGTGGTGCACACCTTTCATCCCAGCACTTGTGAGGCAGAGACAGGTGGATCTCTGTGAGTTTGAGGCCAGCCTGGTCTACAGAGCAAGTTCCAGGCCAGTCAGGGCTACACAGGGGAAATTAAGAACAGCAGTATGAATGGAAAAAAAATAAACAATACACCAAGATGCTAAGCTGTGAGTCTATCTAGATGTGGGATTGTGGGTGCTGTTTCTTTTTCTCTTTATATAACTCCCTCCTCTATTTTCCACTTTTCAACAATAAATTTGACAAGAAAATAGACTATGGCTCACAGTGCTTGAGCCTTGGACTCTGAGAAGAAAGAACTGGCTGTCATTGTCCTGTCCATTCTCTCTACCCTCCTTCCTCCTGCCTTCTGCTTTCCAGCCCCACCCTCCCCAGGACCCCCTGTTGTTTGCAGTAGGGGGGGTGGCATGTGCTGACACAGTGTCAGTTGTGAGTGGTTCTTTCCCTCTGTCTCTGTCTGTCTTCTCTCCCACAGCCAAGATCCTGGGAAAGGTGGGAGAAAGCCTCACCCGGATCTGCTGTGTCCGCCCTCCCGTGGAGCGCTTCACCTTTGTAGGTAAGGGGGCGGGGCGGGGGGGCTTCCCTTCCCTGTCCCAGCAAATAACCCACCCCCGAAATTCATATATTGAATTGTTAATCTCCCAGGGGATAGTATTAGGAATCAGGATCTTTGAGAGACAATTAAATCTCGAGGGTGAATTGTACACAACCGAGTAAATAAGTAGAATGTAAATGAAAAAAAATGTTTTATAAAGAAAAGTCCCTGCTCTATTAACCCACCCCTTCTCCCACCGGAAGACACAGGAGATGATGCTACCCATGCCGGCTCCTTCACCTTGGGCTTTCAACTCCAGAACACTCAGGAATAAAATCCTGTTGTTTGAAAGCCACCCCACCTGTGGTGTTTGTTGTAATGACTTGAATGAACTAGGACACCCTAGTGGGGTGTTCATTTGTAGAGCATAGTTGGAAGAAACCAGAGGCAAGCAGGGGTGTCCAGGTCAAGTGTCAAGAGGTGCTGGGAGCAGGAGGATGTGGTGATCCTGGGAGGCCGTTCATGGTCATCTCCCTCCTCCAGGCTGTGCTCACTCCTCACCCTGCACTCCATAAAATGTGTCTACACAATGGATGCTCCCTGTGGGGCCTGCATCCTGGGTCCTGGTTCAGGCAGTGTCTGTCCATCCAGTAGGCAAGCATTCTCTCTCTCTGGGCTCCTTCTGTCTTGTGGGTGTCCCTCAGAGACTCAGCACAGGTGAGAACATCACAGGCCCTGGAGCTCTTCCCCCATTCCCAGATTTACTTTATAAAAGAACCCCCCCAAAGAGCCAAAAGAACTTGTTCCTTTTGTTCTTTGGGGCTGCCTTCTGTCATAATGGAGGTTTCCAGTTTGGGGCACATTGAGAGGGAACCGAGCAATGGTTGAGGAGGCAGAGGCAGGGACAAGGCTGCTCACCTATAGATTTGAGTGTGTGCACATGTGTGTAACTTGTATACCTCCATACAGACCGTGTACACCAGGAACACTTGCCAGAGGCTTGCTCTTTGGTTTTCCTGCCTGCTTTTGCTACATCCCATCAGGGAAACGGCTCAGCGTCCCAAGTTTGCTGACTCTAAACCAGGAAGCAACAAGAGAAGAGGAGGTCATCTCCCGTGACCCCAAATCCTGTGTCCCGGGTTCTAAGGGCACAGTTCTTGCGGGCAGCCTAAGGTGCAGAGATAGAAAGCACTCAACATGCGTGTCTGCCATTGGGTTCCCCAGTGAGATGTTTAATTATGAAAATTCCCGAAATATGAAGCTCTGTCCCGGGAGGGGAGAGGGTGCCCCCTGCCATCTGACACATCTTTCTCCATCCCAACCAGCCACTCTCACTGAGGCTGTCAGCCCCCTAATGCTCCCCACTCTCTCCCCAGATGAGAACGCCAACCTGGGCACAGTGATGCGGTATGAAGAGATTGGTGAGTTGAGCTATGAAAGTGGGAACATTTGGAGCCTCTTGCCTCTAATCACATGGGAGCAGCAATGTCAGGGAGGGTGGAGGCTTGAAACCTCTGTCTGCTGTCAGAATGCTTCTTCTGCAGATAATCTTACCAGATCCCACTTAACATCCCCTAACTCGACTCATTCCCCAGCAGGAGTGTCTCAGCAGGCAACCTCCCTTTCACAGCCTCCCCTCCCTCATCTAAAAGAATGAAAGCTGAGCGTCATTGCTAATGAGAGAGACCATTGTTTTTAACCCACAGATACTGCACACAAACATGGCAGTGTCCAGTTTCCAGCGCTTTCAAGTAGAGAAGGAAGCAAGGGCTGTCTGGAGCTCAGGTATCCCACTGTCTGTGTGAGGGCCCCCTCCCAGAGCAGGTAGAGGCTGGCTTATAAACAGCTGTCTGATGGGGAGGAGCTGACGCTGTATCAGTAATTGAAGCAAGTCAGCAAACTGAAGCCTTTCCAAGGTTCCAGAGTGAAAGATGGATGGTGGGGGGACCCCAAATGCCTGCAGCTGGAAAAGGATGACAGAGGCAGGCCGGAATGGAACTGGTACAGGTGGCGAGGAGAGTCAGCTGATCTCTAGAAGGAGAGACAACTTGGTCTCCAATCCACATGGATTTAACCTCTAGCTGCAAGGGTGTTAGATGCCCTCCTGACACTCCTCTGGGTGTGCACTGGGGGTCTGGACTTCTGCTGTGTTTCTGAGCAGCATGGAGATGATGACTTGTCCCAGCACCTTAATGCCTGAGCTAATTCATATCACTTTGCTAGAACCATCTGTAGAATTCTGACAACTAGTTACTAAGCAGAGCCATTAGTCAAAATGAAATGCTAGTAGCATGCAGTTAAACAAACTGCGTGAAACCGAGGCAACAAGGGAGTACCCCAGTGTTTCATTTCTACTCATCCTTCTAGACTTCAATGTCTTTACACATCAGCTCTGAAGGCTGCAGGAGAGTGGGCACCTGGCTTTCTGGACGCTCCCTGCAAAGTAAGCAGGTTCTGTAAGCCCAGAGCACCCAAAGACACAGATAGGGCTGTTGTGCCCAAATTCTGAACCCTAAAATCACCAAGAGGCCCATTTCGATGCAAAAGCAAAGAGTCTTTTATTGAAGTTATTTAATGAGCTAAACCCATTAGCTCTGACCCTTCATCCCTTCACCATGGCAGATGGCTGGAGAAAGACCCCAAGAACCTGTGAGGTAGAGATCTTAAAAGGCAGTGTGAGGGGAGTCTAGGGGTATTAAACAGTCTCAGGATTGGTGCGCTTCCAAGTTTGGGTGACCCGCCCTATGTTGATTGGTCAGCTGGTTGTTATGGCCCATAGGCCCTCCCAGGGAGGTTGCTATGCTCTGCAGGTCACTGTTGTGCACTATCCATAAAGCACAGCCCTGCCAGCTAATTTCTGATTGGTTCCTTGCCACAAGGGCATCTGACCTCCTAGTGACCTGCAAGCACATGTTGGCCTGTTATGGCTGCTGAAATGTAGTGACAGGGCAAAGCTGCCAGGACTGGGCTCAAAGCCCTGTACCCCACCTCCCTGCAGCTCTCCCTCTCCAGCGACTGACACCTCACTGGCAGTCTCTACCCAGCAGAGCTCAGAACAGCCCTAGGATTTTCCATTGTGTTCCAATGTGTGTGTGACTTTTCCATGTTTCAGACTTTCTATTGGACTTCTGGGAACTTGTTTGCCTACCTAACATGCAGGGCTTATGTTAGGCTTTGCTGTCCCTACTGGGTGACATCGCTCTGCCTCTTAAATCTGCCTACCCACCTCTGATTCCTTTTGCTCTCTAGAAGGGAAAAAGATCCCGGTAGCTGATGGAAGGGATAATGGGCCAGGGAATGAAGAAGACAGGGAATGAGGAGTTCTTGACTGTTGGAAAGGGGGAGTGGTGCAGTCCCTGCTGACAGATAACTCTGGGTTTGCAGTGGTACAGGTGGCAGCTGCCTTGGTTACCGTGGGAGCTGGGGTGGGCCACTGGGCTACACATAGCTGGGATTCCTGAGCAGGGAGTGTAGAGGGAGAGTACTGTTGGCCCTGGATCAAGATGACCAGGGAGGGAGGCAGAGCCCAGCGGAGGGCAAAGGACTAGCCTGCAATCTGACCCGTATGTTCTGAGGTCCTGGTACTCACAGGCTCCTTTAGCAAAGGCCCTTGCACACATCACAAGGAAAAGCCACCTTCTCCTGGCTTGTTTGGCCTCAGTGATCCAATTCTTCTGTTTCCAACAGTTGATTGCTTCCCCTGGGAAGTCCGCCGACTTGTAGACTGGAGATGTGGAAACTGGTGCTGCCCTCCAGTGGCTTCATGTGGGACCACAGACTCTGCCAGGGTCACCTGTCCTTTACTAATGACACCTGCTCTATGCTGGGGGAAGAAGTCAGAGGTTTCCCTCTTCCTTTGTGTGCTTTGGTTTGTTTTAAAAGTCTAGACAAGAGAGTGAGTCCTAGGGTGAGAATGGAAAACCAAGTTCAGGGTTTTCAGCCTTGGTGCTGCCAATTTTTAGAGATAGATAATTCTGGGGGCGGGGTTGGGGGGTGCCCTGTGTATGTGTAACGATTTACCGGCATCCCGTCTACCAGATGCCCGTGATACAGTTCTCTGCTCCCCAGGCATAAAAACCAGATATTGTAAAAATTCTCCTAAACTGCTCAGGGGGTTTCAGGCAGCCTGTGTGGCTCTGTAACCACATCATCTGCTGGCTTAACTACTCACCATGTCTGAGTGTCCACCATGTGCCAGTCACTGCCAAGTCCCAGGGACATAAGGACAGATTCAGGTTCTGTACCTGAAGAGATCATTGAGTAATACAAGCTCTCAACCTTCACTGGGCTCCCGGGGTGGGGGTGGGGGCACGCAGACCCTGGTCCAGTGCAGACATTGTCCAGACATCTGGACAATGGGCTGCTGACTGATTTCTCCACCTGCCTCATTCCCATATGGAGGGTGTTGAACAGGGGCAAGGTCAACATCTGAAAGTCCTTGCCCAGCCCTGGGGTGTAAGTCAGGCAAAAAGAAAAACCACTGGGCTCTCAGCATCAGGGGCCATGGTAGCAGCTGTGTCTGGAGGTCTAGTGGCCAGCTCTGCACAGGTGGTTTCGTTGTCTCAGACATACTGGAAGAAGCAGAAACTTGGGCAGCTTGAGGTCCGCACCCTGGCTGGCGGACACTCTGTGGAATGCCAAGCATCTCTAGATCCTTCCCCTCACTCTTTTGTAATAAGCAGCCGTTTGCTGGAGGTTTTAAATGACAATGGGCCTCACTGGGAAAACTCAAATTGGATCTAATGAGGGAAGAGAAGCAACTTCCAGGCAGGAAGCATCCACGGGTAAAGGGGAGACGGTCCCAGCCTCACTTCTCAAGTCCTTTGCCGAGGGCGATGGACACAAAGAGAGGGAGCAGCTGATCAGCTCAGATACTTCATTGGCAGTCAGTGGTCTCCGCCAATCCCATCCCTTCTATGCTGGCACTTGTCACGGGAGACATACCAAATGGAGAGAAGGCAGAAGAAAGTTCCTGTCACCCGGCTCTGGGAAGGGTCCAGAGTTCAAGCCTCAGCAGTATATCAAGTTTGAGGCCAGCCTAGGCTACAGAGTCTGAGGGAGGGTGGGGAGCGCTCTGAGCCCTTAAGCCAAGTATATAGCCGGGTGTTTCTGTTAGAAAGCCCAGCCATCCTGCTTTGACCCTCAAGGGCTGTGTCTGAGTCTTGGCCACCCTGCCTGCACTGCTTCCCCTGAATATGAAAATCCCACTGGAGATGGGGGAGGGAATAGGGGTGTGTTGAACTATAGACACCCTGGTGTGGGGTTGTCAGGGAGACCTGGGCCACACGGTTGCAATGGTGCAGACTTCTGTGCTCCTGAGAGGAGAAAGCTGAGCAGGCTCCTAGCCCCCCTCAGACGCCGCTTGCAAACTCTGCTCTCTCTCCTCAGAGCTGCGCATCCTGCTGCTGTGCGGTAGCGATCTGCTGGAGTCCTTCTGCATCCCAGGACTCTGGAATGAGGCCGATGTGAGTAGCTTATGGGGGGAGGGGAGGATGGGAGAGGCGTCCTTGACCTGGGCTTCAGTCTTCTCTCCCCCAGCACAGACTGGAATCTCTTGCCTCCCCAAAGTTCCCAAGAGGGCAATTCATTCACATGACTATGGAGGAAAATTCTCACCTATCCCAGGCTTTATCTCCTACGGCATGTTTATTCACCCTCCTCCTCCTCCTCCTCCTCGCCCCTGGGAAGCCCTGGGAAAAAAGTACTCTTGACTTACAGAATGTCTTGTTCCAAGTGCTGCCTGGGGTGTGCATGCTGGGGGTGTGGAGACATGCAGGGAGGGTTTAAGAACAGTAAAAACTTTGCCCTTTGGAGATTATAGATGTGGCTTGTTTTCCTTTGCCGCCTTTGAAGAGGAACTAAACCTCCACCCTAGGCTCCCCTTAGCTAGAGAATAGGAGTCGGGGGGGGATGCAAATGGCTAAGGGCAAATGGCGAGTAGGTTCTGTAGGTGCCTCATTTGGCACAGGGGACAGAGCCAGGTAAAGTCAAGCCACTTGGAGGTTCCCGTCTCTAGTCATCAGCTCTGATTCGGGTGGTCAGTACACTGCTTTCCACACATGCTATTCTCTCTTGCTCTTTTATTAATTTCACTCACTGGACAGCCTGAGCTAAAACTACCTTCAACTCATGGTCCTATGCAAGCTGCTTTTCTGTTTGTTTTTGAGATAGGGTCTTGCTATGCAGCCCTGGCAATCCTCCTGCCTCAGTGCATTGCTGGCAGCACTGCCAGACTTCATGCTTTTTTTAATGAACTTGCTGGGCAACCATGTCAATCATCCAACTCTTCTGGGTTACCAAATGAGGCTTGCTTTGCATGCCAACCAGTTGCTGAAATGATTGCAAACATTCTCAAAAAGAAAAAAAAAGTTTATTGACAGCCAGCCAGACATGAAGAGGCAGGTGCCCCAGGTCTCAAAAAGGTAAGGGGCATCTATGAGATAGGTAAGCAGGGTCTGGGGCATGGAGAAAGGTAATTGAGGAGAGTGGCATAGTCCTTACTTGGGCTATGTTCAGAAAATAAATGGCAGCAGCAGGCTCTAAGGGTGGAGCTTTAGCGTCTGACGTCTAAAGGTCACCCACTGGACACTTGCTTAGGTCAGTAGTTTCAACCAGTTTCGGCTGCCTCCAATTCCTGAAAAACAACTTGGGCAATTGTCATGGTGACCCATAGTCAGGTATTGTCTACAGAGAGGCTATTGGGAGTGTGCCGGCCTCCAAACTCAAAGCAAGCAAGAAACAAAAAGCAAGAGGACTGACTTGGGCACTCCCTCCGTGTCACCCTGAACTGCAGTTGGTTTTTCAGTCTGTGGTATGTATGCTAGTGACAGTGGTCTAAGATGTTGAAGAAATGGGGGATACAACCCCTGCTCATAAGTGTTAGGAGACATGCCATACATAGGAAAGCCTTTTGTTGTCCGTTTTTATATCCCAAAAGAGGAATAAAGAGAAAAGAAACATTCAGAGTCAGAATTTAGAATCCAGCTCTACTCTAACACATCCAGTGGCAAAATAGTCTGGTTTCAGTTCTCCCGTCTTTAAAATGGGCTTAATAGTGTCTGCTTCACAAGGTTTTTGAAGACTCAAATGACATTATTGAAGTGCTGAGAACAGCACTTATTGCATAGTTACTATGAAACACCATGTTGTTTTGTGTATGTTTTTGAGACAAGGTTTTCTATTTTGTTTTGTTTTTTAAAGATTTATTTATTATGTGTAGTGTTCTGCCTGGCAGAAGAGGGCGCCAGATCTCATTATAGGTTGTTGTGAGCTACCATGTGGGTGCTGGGAATTGAACTCAGGACCTCTGGAAGAGCAGCTAGTGTTCTTAACCTCTGAGCCATCTCTCCAGCCCAAGATAGGGTTGTATATAGCCCCAGCTGGCCTCAGTCTTGCTGTGTGGCTGAGGATGACCTTGAACTCCTGATCCCGGGATTAGTCCCAAGTGCTGACACTAGGCTTGCTCCACCAAGCCTGGCTTGTAACAAATGCTATTGAGAAAATCCAGCTAATGTGGACCAAACACCCAGGGGCACCCAGCCTCCATTCACGGTGAAGGTGAAGGATGCACATGCTGGTACATCATGAGTTATGGGGGGGAGGGGTGGCTGAGGACAACCATTCTGAGCAGTCTGTCTTTTCATCTGCAACCCTGGACAATTTCCTGCTGGTGAAATTTTAAGCCTCCTTTCAGTTTTGGATTTAGTGGCTTAATCAGCTTTTACCTTCCACCCTCTACTCAGTGTTGCAAAAGTAAATAGTCACCAGCACGGATCTCAGCAAAACTGAGCAGTTGCCTGGGGCCCCTCTAGGGAGGCCCAGGCTGTCGGGGAATTTAGGGGAATGAGGTTGGCAGCTGGCACAGTAGTCTGAAGAGTCACTTGTGTGAGCAGGAAATCCCTGGGGGCTATTTACTAAGTGGGACCTGCTGGGGTGGGGGTGGGGAGGAGACACCTCTCAGGGCCTGAAGCAGGCTACCGATGCCTGACCAGTCTCTCCCCTGGCTCCTGGTTAAATCTCTAGAGCTCTCCTACCTGTTGTTCTGGGTGTTGTCAGATGCTAATATTGAGGACCAGGGAGCTCCCCACCCCACCTCGGGTCTTTTTGGCTTTCCTTAGTCACTGGAGTTGAGACCAGCATTGGCTGATTAAGAAACAAAATTGAAGGGGCTGGAGAAATGGCTCAGCAGTTAAGAGCACGTGGTTCTTGCAAAGGAGCTCAGTTGAGTCCCCAAGACCGATGTCTGGCAGCTCCCAACCACCTGCAACTACAGAGAGAGAGAGAGAGAGAGAGAGAGAGAGAGAGAGAGAGAGAGAGAGAGAGAGAGAGAGAGAGAGAGAGAGAGCAGGCCATGATGGCTCTGACTTTATGGGGTGAGAGGGTACGGAGCATGTTTGTACTCAAACATGGAAACTTGTCACACTGACCTTTAGTAATGACAGGGTGTTGGTGCTGAGTCAGGAACCTTGGTGCAGGAGGAACCTTGTTCTGGAATGTGGGAGGTTCCTAACACAGGGGATCTGATGCCTTCTTCTGGCCTCCTAGGGCACCTGCACTCAGACGAAACACACACACACATGCAGACACACAAATACATTTTTTTCCCTCAAAAGTTTGCCAAGCCAGTAGCTGTACCATGTTACAGTGAGGTCTTTGTGCATACAAATGTATTGCCCCTGATCACAGGGTGAAGGAATCTCCACAGTCCTGACAGTTTGACTCTCTGGATTCCTGAGAGGAGTCAGAAAGTTCTAATCTCTCAGGGGTGCCTTTGTGAAAAAAACAAAGGGATACCCCTATCTCACTTGTGGTCCCCAGAGTGACACAGTGACTCTGGCGCATCCTGAGGAAACCAGGGACGGATGCACAGCGCCAGGGAGGGTGGCGAGGTAAGCTCGCTTACCCAGGATGTAGATGAACTCAATGCAGAATCCCACGGCTAAGGAGACTGTGGTGATAGAGAACTCCCCTCAGTATGGGAGGCCCTGGGGGGAATCCCCAGCACTGTAAAGCCAATGAAACCTAACATGGCCAGGTTGTGGTGGTGCACGCCTTTAATCCCAGCAATGGGGAGGCAGAGGCAGAGGCAGGCAGATCTCTGTGAGTTTGAAGCCAGCGTGGTCTACAGTGTGAGTTCCAGGACAGCCTCTAAAGCTACAGAGAAACCTGTCTCAAAAAAACCTTAAAAAACAAAACAAAAACCTAACATAAATCCAAAGTCTGGGCCTAGGGCTATAGTCAGTTGGTCGACTGTTTACCTCACGGGCACATAACCATGGGTTCAGTATCCAGCACCATACAAACTGGATATGTGAGCCCCGAGTTAGGAGACTGAGGTTAGGGGACAGAATTTTAAGGTCATTCGCTATGACATAGTGAGTTTAAGGCCAGCCTGCAATGCAATGCTGGTTACTCTGTCTCAAAACAAAGAGGGAGGGAGTTCCACTGTTGTGCCCAAATTCTGAACCCCCAAATCACCAAGAGGCCCATTTCGATCCAAAAGCAAAAAGTCTTTTATCGTAATTCTTTAACAAGCTAACCCCAGTAGCTCTGGCCTTTCATCCACTCACAGGGGCTAATGGCTGGAGAAAGACCCTGAGAAACCACGAGGCAGGGATCTTAAAAGGCAGCATAAGGGGAGTGTCTAGGGGTCGGCAACAGTCTCAGGATTGGTGCGCTTCCAGGTTTGGACAACCTGCCCCGTGTTGATTGGTCAACAGGTTGTTAAGGCCCATAGGCCCTCCCAGGGCCGTTGCTATGCTCTGCACATCACTGTTGGGCACTTGTCTGTAAAGCACACCCAGAACGGTAAAGCACAGCCCCGCCAGCTGACTTCTGATTGGTTCCATGCCAATCTGACCTCCTAGTGACCAGGACAGGAGTGGCAAGGTCAGATGAGCACATGTTAGCTTGTCATGGCTTCTAAAACTGAGCGGGGTGGGGGACGGGAGACTGGTCACTTCACCACATTCTTAGAACTCCCCGTGGCTTAGGCTGACAAATTGAATGGCTGGTCAACCCAAAGATCTAGTAGTCCCCGCACCTATCCTGTCCAGGGCAGTGGTAAGAGCTCCAGTTCCTTAGCCTGGCAGTGGTGGCACACACCTTTCATCCCAGCACTGGGGAGGCAGAGACAGGCCGATCTCTGTGAGTTCGAGGCCAGCCTGGTCTACAGAATAAGTTCCCAGACAACCATAGCCACACAAAGAAATCCTGTCTCAAACAAACAAACAAACAAACAAAAGTCCAGTTCCTTGCAGAAACAGTGGGATGGGGGTTAAGCAGACATTAGGCCTCCCTCAGCCTAGAACAGACCTGCATCTGAACACCATCCAGCCAATTGCTCCTTCCCAACTCTTCCCAATTTGTGAGGTTCTTAGAATCCTGGTTCAGAGGTAAAGGGGAAATACTATCTTAAAGATTCAGGGTCTGAGGGAAAAAAATCCCAGTTCAAACAGATCTGGGA